ATCCAAGATAAGGTATTGCGAGGAGAGGCTAAGGAAGCACAAATCGATGAGGAAGGTGTTTTGAGAATCAAGGGAAGGGTATGTGTACCCCGCGTCAATGGGTTGATCAACACTATTCTGACAGAGGCTCATAGTTCAAGGTATTCTATACATCCGGGCGCAACCAAGATGTATCGTGACCTAAAGCAACACTTTTGGCGTGACATTGTGGATTTTATTGCCAAATGTCCAAACTGTCAACAAGTAAAGTATGAACACCAAAGGCCCGGAGGAACACTTCAGAGAATGCCCATTCCGGAATGGAAGTGGGAAAGAATTGCAATGGATTTTGTGGTTGGTCTTCCGAAGACAATGGGTAAGTATGACTCCATTTGGGTGATTGTTGATAGGTTAACTAAATCTGCTCATTTCATTCCGGTCAAGGTGACTTACAATGCAGAAAAGTTAGCCAAACTTTACATCTTGGAAGTGGTGCGATTGCATGGGGTTCCACTATCCATCATATCAGATAGAGGTACGCAGTTTACTTCTAAGTTTTGGAAAACATTGCATGCAGAATTGGGTACTAGGTTGGACCTTAGTACTGCGTTTCATCCCCATACCGATGGTCAGTCTGAGCGAACGATTCAAGTGTTGGAGGATATGCTTCGTGCGTGTGTGATAGAGTTTGGTGGTCATTGGGATAGCTTCTTACCCTTAGCGGAGTTTTCATACAATAATAGCTATCACTCAAGCATTGATATGGCTCCATTTGAAGCATTGTATGGTAGGAGATGTAGGTCTCCCATTGGTTGGTTTGATGCATTTGAGGTTAGACCTTGGGGCACTGATCTCTTGAGGGATTCGATGGAAAAAGTGAAGTCTATTCAAGAAAAGCTTCTAGCGACGCAAAGTAGACAAAAAGAATATGCAGATCGAAAGGTTAGAGACTTAGAGTTCATGGAGGGTGAACAAGTCTTGTTGAAAGTTTCACCCATGAAAGGGGTGATGCGGTTTGGTAGAAGGGGTAAACTAAGTCCAAGGTACATTGGACCATTTGAAGTACTTAAGCGAGTAGGAGAGGTGGCTTATGAGTTAGCCTTGCCTACAGGGCTTTCCGGAGTGCATCCGGTATTCCATGTGTCTATGTTGAAAAGATACCATGGGGATGGAAACTACATCATCTGTTGGGATTCAGTTTTGCTTGATGAGAACTTGTCTTATGAGGAGGAGCCTGTTGCTATTTTAGATAGAGAAGTTCGCAAGTTGAGGTCAACAGAGATTGCATCCATCAAGGTGCAATGGAAGAATCGACCAGTTGAAGAAGCCACTTGGGAGAAGGAGGTGGATATGCGAGAAAGATACTCACATCTGTTTAAAGATTCAGGTACTCCTTTTCGCCCTTGTTTTCCTTCTTTTGATCGTTCGGGGACGAACGATGGGTAAATTGGTATCTAATGTAACGACTCGTTTAGTCGTTTTGAGCAACAGACTTCAATTCTGGAAAAACTGGCAGAAGCGACGGACCCCACGACGGAACGTCATGGGCACGACGGACCGTCGCAGGGTCTCGTTTCAAAACACTTAGAAAATCTGAAATTGGGTACTAAAAATCGACTCTCTGAACTTTGTGACGGAATGGCAGGACGGACCGTCACAGGTGTGACGGACCGTCACAGACCCTTGGTGGAAATTTGGGTCTCTGAACTCTGCGACGACCTGCAGGACGGACCGTCGCAGGCACGACGGCCCGTCACAGTTTGCATAATCCCAGCTGGAGTCGGATTTCTGGTTAAGTTTTAAGGGACGTTTTTGACTGTTCTTGCCTTAATTATAAAGTTTGTGGGTTTATATTAATAACTCAAATTCTTGGGGGTTAAAAGAGGTAACCCTAAGTTAATTAGTGGGGTATTATTGCCATCTTTTATTCTTAATTATATACTAATTAGGGTAAAAGAAAGAGGGTTTGAACAAAGAAAATAGAAAGAACAAGAGAAAGAGAGGGAAAGTTGAACGAGAGAGAGGATCGAACGAGAGGAAAAACACAAAGCTTGGAAAATTGCTTGCTTGATCACGAATCTTCGGTGGAGGTAGGTTATGGTTTCCCTTACGATATTCGTAGTAAACTCTTAATAGAGAATGATATGTATTGATAATATTGTAAACCCTGCTATATGCTTAATTGTATGCTTGCATGAATATGATTATGTGATTGTGATAAGATAAGCATGATGAAAATATTGAATCCCAAATCTTGAAAAGAAACTTTAATATACATTATTAAGGATGATGCCTTGGTATAGAAGAAGGCTTGATGAATTAAAGCAATGGGATTGATGATGCCTTGGAATAGAGAAGGCTTGATGATTTACAGAATGATATTAGTGGATCGGAGTGTCACGTACCGACACATGTAGGGGATCGGGTGTCACGAACCGACACGTAGAATTAGGGGATCGGGTGTCACGAACCGACACGTAGAATTAGGGGATCGGGTGTCACGAACCGACATGTAGAATTAGGGGATCGGGTGTCACGAACCGACATGTAGAATTAGGGGATCGGGTGTCACGAACCGACACGTAGAATTAGGGGATCGGGTGTCACGAACCGACACGTAGAATTAGGGGATCGGGTGTCACGAACCGACACGTAGATTTAGGGGATCGGAGTGTCACGTACCGACACAAGAGGAATAATGAATATGAGGGATCGGAGTGTCACGTACCGACACAAGAGAATTAAAGATAATGAATCTTGAAAGATGTTAATATACTCAATCTAACGAACATGATTCCCAAATGAGTATGGTATTGGGGCTTGAGTCCTCATGTGTGAACTTGACGGTAATTGTTAATGATATAGTGCTTGTTGTTGCTACATGTTGAGTATCATAGGTGATTTTATGATATTACTTGATATATACTGTTTTCTATTTTGAGTTGGCCGATGATATCTACTCAGTACCCGTGCTTTGTACTGACTCCTACTTTTATTGTTTTCTTCTTGTTATTTGTGGAGTGCAGCAAACGTGCCGTCATCTTCGACTCAATAGTAACTCAAGCCAGTCTTCGTCACATCGGATCTTCAGGGTGAGCTAACGCTTCTAGCTTGGACTGGATGTTCTCCTTCATGTCTTGATGCCTTGAACCTCCGGCACGGACTAGCTTCTTATGTATTTTTAGCTTCTTAGAAACTCTTAGAATTAGTAGATGTTCTTGTGATGATGACTTCCAGGTTTTGGGAATAATAGATGTGTAATATTGATAGTTATTGAATTGGTTTTATTAATGAGTTAAGTCTTCCGCATTATTTTCTGTTGTTATTACATTGAAATGTTAAGGTTTAGATTGGTTGGTTCGCTCATATAGGAGGGTAAGTGTGGGTGTCAGTCGCAACCCGGTTTGGGTCGTGACACTTAAAGAATCGCCAGCTACGGGTGGAGTATGGAGACTGAGTGATGATGACAAGTTCCAAAGTCTCAAGCTGTTGATATTTAGCTATCTACATTTTCAGCACTGGGAAGCTAGCAGTGATAGCTTCCCAAATCTAAAACGCCTTGTTCTAAAGACCTGCAGTTTCCTGCGAGAAATTCTAACAGATTTTTGGGGAAATTGGTACTTGAAATTGGTACTTTGGATTCAATTGAGTTACATTATTGTGGCACTGGTGCTGAAGATTGTGCCGGAAATATTGAACAAGAACAAGAAGACATGGGAAATAATTACCTTAAGGTCTACATTGGTAAGTTTTAAATCTCTCTGACAAAATTCTTCCATTGTTCACATTATTAGTTACTACTTTTACCCCCTTCTAATTTAGATAATGACATTTCTTTTTATATCTTGTATGCAGGGAATTGAAGCTTATGTTATACTTTGTTCCTTGTGTGTTCCTCTTGATTCAACAGAATCACTGTGATCAAAATGGAAGTTGTATGAATATATTCTTATGGTTCAATCTGATGCCACTCCTCTTCCAGAGTGATTCCATCGCTTGATGTTCTGCCCAACTCTTTGTGAATAGTTATCAGATACCAGCCTCACATAACTACTTTTGGGTGACAGTTTTTGCCTCTCATCGGCACATGTAATATTTCATATCTCGAGTGACATTTCATATGTTCAACATCAATGTCTGAAAATAGAATACAATCTTCACTTTTCAGCATATTTATATATATACCCTTCTTCTCGATATTGTTCAAATTTAGGAGAAAATTCACATCTTCTAGATTAATTGTTAGAAGAGAGGTTTTTAAATTTAGGCATAGATATCAACAGTACTTATTTATATGTACTCAGATGGTAGAGTTTTTTGTCTAACATAGGTTGTGGTACTATGGTAATGATTACTTAACAGTTACGTATCATTGGATAGATAAAATTTGGACAACGTAAAAATCCTATATTTAGGAATAACTTTTCAGTTTTCACTTGAATTAACATGTCAACCACTATTAAGGTAAAGCATTATCACGACATGTTCCTTAGTATTTATACCTCAATTTATCATTTGAGACTTGTTGGGGTGGTTGACTTGAGACCTGAGGGGCTCAGGTGATTTTCAAATAACCTGAACTCAAAATGACAATGCATATTTTTGTTGTTAGATGGTGTACAGCAATGGCATCACCAAGAAGCGATCGTGAACGAATTGATGTACTGTAGCAACGGATTGTCACTTCATCTTCCATCGATTACTGGCTTAAATGCATTGTGGTCTCATTTCTGAAAGAACTATTCTTGTGACATAATATAATGTAAAAGAGTGTGTATCAAAATACTAATTAAAACTTTTCCTCTATTAATATAAAATGCATACACACATGGTAATGTTACCACTGCAGCTGATGGTAGATAACATGTCTGGCCCGTGCTATTCCTGAGAATCTTCTACTACAAAACAGAAAAAGTTCAACTAGCATCTAAAAATATAGAATCTTATTTCATACACCTGCAAATATACAAATAAACTCAAAAGATTCCTGTAATAAAAGAAGTTCAATACGACACTAATTATTATTGTCGAACAGAAACAAGAGCCAACCATGGAACCAAATGTTGATGAAATGACCACAACTGCACCACCATTCCAGATTTGAGTTTATTCCTTTTTACTACTTGCATCCAGTCATTCAATAACACATAACTTGAGCTGTTACTCATGTCCCATTTTGTCAAATGAATTTTTGTTTGTTCAAGTGAAGGCTCAATCAAGTTGAACTGAATCTTGCTCTTTTTGTTGGACTCAATGTCTCTTGTCTCCAACACCATTTTCTGTTGTGGTGTCAAGAAATCCTTTCTCACCACTTGGTTGACGGGGATTGACATACGCATATGCTTATAGCTCAAATCTGTATCATAAAGAACTTTCTGAATTACGAGTTTCACTTGAGAAATCTGAACACCCATTCCTGAAATCATCTCCTTCAACTCATCCGGCAAAACTGGAGGATCAATTATTGGTTTATAAATCTTTCTTCTCTTTTCCTCTCTGTTTTCCCACTTACTATGTTTTTCATCGAACAGAGTCTCAGTCTTTTTTCCCTCCACGGAAAGGTCTTCATCAACTGTTTCGATTGTTTTACGTTTAAGAGAGATTCGAATCTTCGGATCCTTTTTCTGTGACATTGATTGAGACGGCATAACAGTAGGAGGAGGGTTCTTTCTTCTGAAAATTCTGCTTCTTTTAGCCCTTGGGAGAAGATAGTAGTAGTGATCAACAGAATGTTCACACATAAACGGATTCTTTCTAAAAGCTTCATCTTTTTCAACATCTACACATTCAAAATCAGTTATACAGGACTCTTCTTTCAACCCACCACCATCATCGTCTTCCATTATCGTTCCCATGGAAAACAGAAGAAAATTTTCAAGAAACAGAGAGAGATCAACTTTTAGAAAACAATGGGTTTGATTAAGAAGAAGAATTGTTGATAAAGAGGGTGAAATTAGTTTAAGAATGAGGGGATTCTTGATTTATTAACGTTGGGGAGTTCTTGATTTCTTGAACGCGCTAAATTGACAAGCTGGTTAACAAGTTTCTAAATTTGGAAATTATTTAATTATTCAGTCTTTGAAAGACATTAGCATTTCAACAAGTGATAAGAAAGAAGAAAAGGTTCTTTTTGTTGTAATCTTTTTCTCCAAAGCAACCTCACATCATGTTTTCTCATGTGTAAATCATTGTATCGGGCTGAAATTTTTACTGACTATTTTTATATTTTCGTGTTTGTTTGAATGGAGGAGATAAGATTTGGAGGGTAGGATCCAATTTCAGTTCTGAAGAGTAACTGTATTTGTGTGTTTCTTTCTATTTATGTTTGTTAGTGTAACTATTGCTTCTTTCTATTAGACAATTGTTGAGTAGACATTTAGGAGAATATTTATAGCCCTATTATTGTTATAGCGAACTTCCTCCTTGAAGGCCTAAGGAAGAGCCTATTCATGTGCAGTTGATTCTCGAACGAAGCGAAGAATGACAGCGGCTCTCTCTTCCCAGTAGCAGGCGAGGCATTAGAATGGCGTTCACGTGATTGTTACCTTCGATTTGAAGGGTTTCTTCACATTTTTTTATTTCAAATTAATGTCTTTCCATCGCAGCATCACTCACTTACAACTTGAATCTTTCAAAATAAAACGATTATCTTTTTATACTTAATCGGTTTCATTTTAGGTAGGTAACATTATTTGATAGGATATAAGAATAAAAAATAAAAAAATTGTTATCTGTAATCTTAAAATATGTCATGACATTTTATAACTGTGAAAATATTTTCTCCGTCTATTTTTAATTGTTTAAATTTTAATTTTGCACCTTCATAAAAAAAATTATTAATATAATTTTTTATCATAATATTCGCTTAAGTAAGATAGTTGCTTTTTTTGGGTATAGTTAATCTAAATATTTCAAATACAAGGAGGAAAGTGAAATCGTTGTCAAATCTTTATCATTGAATCTCCAAATATGAATTTGAGTGCTTCAGTTGATCCTCAATCTCCCAGTATCTATATTTCAATTGCTCAACTTAAGTCTTAAGTCTTGAGAAATAATTTAGGGGAATAAGTAAATTATTGTTGAGGGTAAAATATGAAATTCATTTTTATCTTTTTATATGTTAAAAGTGACGAGTAAAAAATTACAAAAAATACTTTTAAAATAGTAAACAAATAATAGTGAATAAAATGAATATATCACTAAGAATAAATTTAGAAGTTTAAATTTAATTATTTTTAAATATAGAATTTTGTCATTCTTATTTAAGCATTAGTCCTGGGCACGTGCATTGCACTTGTATCCCATGCTAAATCATGTGAAATTGTTATAACAATATATATAATCAACAACCTTCACATCATGTTTTTCGATGTGTTATTAGTTGTATCCGACTCAAATTTTTACTAAGTGTTCCTATATCTGCATGTTTAATTTGAATGGAGGAGATAAGATTTGGAGGTCAGCAGAATTCAATTTCATGTTTTGAACACCAGCTGGATTTGTATGTTTCTTTCTATTTATCTTTGTTAGTGTAGTTATTGATTCTTCGTATTTGGCAATTGTTGTGTAGCCATTTAGCAGAATATTTATAGCCATATTATTGTTATAGTGAAACAATTTGAATATGGGCGATCACGTGATTGTTACCTTCAATTTGAAGGATTTTTTCAACGTTTTTTATTTTCGAGTTTATATTTTTCCATCGCAGCATCATTCACTTTAAATTTAAATCTTCCAAAATAATATGATTATCTTTTTATACTTCATCGGTTTCATTTTAGGTAAGATATTATTTGATAAAAAATTAAAAAAATTGTTATGTGTAATCTTAAAATATGTCATGACATTTTATAATGGTGATTTTTTACATCTATTTTTAATTGTTTGAATTTGAATTTTACTCTTTCTTAAAAAATAATGATTAATATAAATGTTTACCATGATATTGTTTAAATAAGGTAGTTGCTTTTTTTGATATAATTAATTTAAATATTTTCTAATATGAGGAGGAAAGTGAAATCGATATCAAAGTTTTATCATTGAATCTCCAAATATGAACCGTTGCGTGTTTCAGTTAATCCTCAATCTCCCAGTATCGATATTTCGACTACTCAAGATTAAGTCTTAAGGCTTGAGAAATAATTTGGGGAAAAAGTAAATTATTATTGAGGGATAACTATGAAAGTCATTTTTATCTTTTTCTATGTTAAAAGTGACAAGTTTAGAATAAAAAATTACTTTTAAAATAATGGACAAATAAGAATGAATAAAATGAATATATCACTAAGAATAAATTTAAAATTTTAAATGAAATTATCATTAAATATACATTTTTGTTCAATCTTATTTAAGCATTAGTCCTGGGCACGTGTGTTGTACGTGTATCCCATGCTAAATCATGTAGAATTGTTATAACGATATATACAATCAGCAACCTTCACATCATATTTTTCAATGTATTAACCGTTGTATCGGGGCGAAATTTTTATTGAGTGTTTCTATATCTTCATGTTTGGTTTGAATGGACGAGATAAGATTTAGAGATCAGCAAGATTCAATTTCAGATTCTGAAAAACAGATGGATTTGTGTGTTTCTTCCTATTTATCTTTGTTAGTGTAGCTATTACTTCTTTGTATTTGACAATTGTTGTGAACCAGTTAGGAGAATATTATAGCCCTATAGTTATTATAGTGAAACAATTTGAATCTGGGCGATCACATGATTGTTACCTTCTATTTGAAGGGTTTTTTTACGTTGTTTATTTTCAAGTTTATGCCTTTCACTCGCAACATCATTCACTTAAAACTTAAATCTTCCAATATTATATGATTTTTCTTTTATACTTCATCGGTTTCATTTTAGGTAAGGTAACATTATTTTATGGGATACAAAAAAAAAAGTTATCGGTTATTAAAAGATATGTCATGACATTTTGTAACGATGAGAATATTTTCTCCATCCATTTTTAATTATTTAAATTTGAATTTCGCACCTTCATAAAAATAATGATTAATATAAATTTTTACCATAATATTCGCTTAAGTAAGGATTTTTTTTTTGGGTATAATTAATATAAATCTTTCTAAATATGAGGAGGAAAATGAAATCATTGTCAAATCTTAATTATTGAATCTCCAAATATGAATCTTTGAGTGTTTGAGTTGATCCTCAATCTCCTAGTATCGATATTTCGATTGCTCAAGCTTAAGTCTTAAGTCTTGAGAAATAGTTTGAGAAATAAGTAAATTATTGTTGAGGGTAAAATATGAAATTCATTTTTATCTTTTTCTATGTTAAAAGTGACAAGTTTAAAATAAAATTTTACTTTTAAAATAGCGGACAAATAAAAGTGCATAAAATGAATATATCACTACTAATAAATTTTAATTTTTAAAATTCAATTATTTTTTGAATATAGAATTTTGTTATTCTTATTTAAGCACTAGTTCTGGACACGTGTGTTGCATGTGTGTTGCACCTTCACATCATGTTTTTCAATGTGTTAACCGCGTTGTATGGGGCTGAAATTTTTACTAAATGTTCCTACATCTTCGAGTTTGATTTCAATAGAGGAGATAAAATTTGAAAGTCAGCAAGATCCAATTTTTGATTTTGAACAACAGCTGGATTTATGCATTTCATTCTATTTATTTTTGTTAGTGTAGCTATTGCTTCTTTGTATTTGAATATTGTTGTGTAGTCATTTTAGGAGAATATTTATAGCCGTATTATTGTTATAGTGAAGCATTTGAACTGGGGCAATCACGTGACTGTTACCTTTGATTTGAAGGATTTTTCCACATTTTTATTTTCGAGTTTATGTCTTTCCATCGCAACATCAGTCACTGTCAACTTAAATATTCCAAAATAATATGTTTGTCTTCTTATTCTTCGTTAGCTTCATTTTAGGTAAGGTAACATTATTTGACGGGATATAAAAAAAATTAAAAAATTGTTATTTGTATTCTTAAAATAAGTCATGATATTTTATAACGGTGAAAATATTTTCTCCATTCATTTTTAATTGTTTAAATTTGAATTTTGTAATTTCTTAAGAAACAATTATTAATATGAATTTTTACCATAATATTCGCTTAAGTAGGGTAGTTACTTTTTTTTTTTGCATAATTAACTTAATATTTTCAAATATGAGGAGGAAAGTGATATCGTTGTCAAATACTTATCATTGAATCTCCAAATATGAATTTTTGAGTGTTTCAATTGATCCTCAATCCCCGACATCAATATTCGGCTGCGCAAGCTTAAGTCTTAAGTCTTGAGAAATAATTTGGGGAATAAGTAAATTATTGTTGAAACTAAAATACGAAATTTATTTTTTATCGTTATATATGTTAAAAGTGACAAGTAAAAAATAAAAATTTATTTTAAAAAAATAGTGGACGCATAATAGTGAATAAAATAAATGTCACTAAGAATCAATTTAAAGTTTAAAATAAAATTATTTTTAAATATAGAATTCTGTCATTCTTATTTAAGCACTAGTCCTGGGCACGTACATCGCACGTGTATCCTATGCTAATATGTGTGAAGTTGTATAGAAGAGTCAAGTTGAGGATGATCAAGGGCAAATTTGTCATTTTAGAAATATTCTAGAATGTTTGTTTTTATGTTATGACATCAAAAAAGTGGTAATAGATTTATAATAACAATACGACCAAATATCTTTTCTTAAATGTCATGTGTATCCTAATGATGCGGCATTTAATTTTGACCCACATCATCTATATATTTTTTTTCTTTTTTTTTTTAAACTGAAATTTTCATCAAACTAAAAAAATCTATTAAACAATGGAATTTTAGTAATTTAATACTATTTAAGGG